GTTATGCTACGAAATCCCCTGAAAATTCACGAAATTTTGCCATATTTTTATATGTTGATATATTGACGCGGTATTGATCTAAAATCCCAACATCGTGAATTCCTACTACTAACTTTTCACCAAGCCTTGGAGATTTAGAAAGAGTTTGGACAGGAAACCCTGTCAGGGTTAGATTGAGGCTCTGAGGTGCAGCTAAAGGTTGGAGGTTTCAGAGGATTTAACTCAAACTAAGTGGCATAATGTGGATTTTTTTCAATCGCAGTAAATGTTTCACACAATATACTTTATTTTCTTTTTTCTGGTGATTTTCAGAGAATTGAGTTAAAAGTATGGGACCTTCTGAAATACTTGCATCTACTGTAAACTAAGAATTTCCCAACTGTGTTTTTTAATAATTTTATGCAGCTCAAGTAAAATAAAAATGCGAAAGAGATGAGTTATTACTGGATTACTGACACTTATACAGGAGCCAGTGCAATCGAATCCCGTGCAAACTACACACTGCACTGTGTGAATATTTGCTAATAGGATTGAAAATCTTAACTCATGATCTTATTCATTTTTACAATTGATAATTCAGACCTTCTAGGAGTCTGTAGATTCTATAAAAACTCACCATGACACAAGGCGGCACTTCTCTGGATGTTTCATTTTGGAAGCTGTGATGGAAATTAAGTTTTTAAACATATTCAATGGACCAAAATAAGGATAAACGAATAAGATAAGTAATAATAAAATGAGAACATCCCTGTGGTTCCTCCTCGATGAATCCACGATAACTGAGTTTTCACATCCTCTCTGAATGTGGTTGGTCTTTTCTTGGGTGGCTGATCTTTTGAAAATGAAAATGCAATGTTTCTTATGTGGATCTCCTATGGGTTTGTGATCCAAATCTGAAAGCTTAAGAGATTTGTGTTGCTTTAATTAGTCCTAAAATTCAACGGGAGATTATTCAACTAGACTAAGCAATGGTTATTTAACTTGTGAGCAAACCTGGACTAAAACTGGGACTAAATCAGGAGGCTAAATTAAAGCTTAAAGCTTAATAAAAAAAAGCCGCTCTAGATGTAGAGAAAACAAACCATTGGATCTGATCCTACACTCAGTCCCAACATTGATTATTTAAGCCAGATGCTGTATAGTTTATTCATAAAATTTAAGTACTTAGCTTCAAATCTTCATTAATTTACAATGATAATAATCCCAGGGCGAAATTACTTTTGTTACATGATACCATCTGTAATAGAATGACTATGGGAATAGTTTGATAGAACACAATTTCATACAATATACAGTCATGGCCAAAAGTATTGAGAATGAGACAAATATTATATTTTCACATGATCTGCTGCCCTCTGGTTTTCATGTGTGTATGTCAGATGTTGTCATCACATACA